GTAGCTGCGCGGACCTCCGAGAAGTTGTGCTCATGCGGTTATTCGGCTCTCTGGGCGTGGCCATCGTTTAAGCTTCAGCACTGTTGGGTGCGCATCGGAAACTCCGACCCCAATGATGATTACATCTCGTTGGGGGGAACTCCGCTTTCGCCGGCCTTCCGCCGGCCTTCCGCCAGCTTCCGCTTGGCGGAGCCGCCTTCATTCTGCTACCGCTGGCACCCGCGGCGACTCCGTGAGCTTTCGCCCAGAAAAAGAAACCAAGGAGGAGGAGGAGGAGGAGGAGGAGGAGGAGGAGGAGGAGGAGGAGGAGATGGAGGAAAAGGAGATGGAGGAAGAGGAGGAGGAGGTGGAGACAAGCAGGGTGTTTCTTTTGCAGGGGCCCCCGCTGAATGGTGTCCGGTGACGGTCGCTGCATCGGGGGAGGGGGCGGGTGACGGTAGTGCCTGGGCGGGGTGGGGCACGTCGGGGCGGGGGTGCGCTGCGATTGCCGCGGCATGCGGGCGAGCACCAACATGAGGGGGGGGGTCCAGGCCCCCCCCCCGCCCCACCCCACGTACGATCGATCGTCACGTGACCGTTTCCGGGGGGGGGGGGGGGAGGGCGCGAGGGCTTGGCCCATGTGGCGACCCTCCCGCGCCAGAGGACCAAAACCAATCACCTGCCCGCGCGAGGGCTTGGCCCATGTGGCGACCCTCCCGCGCCAGAGGACCAAAACCAATCTCCTGCCCGCTGCTGCAACGCCACGGGAGGTCGCCTCCCCTCGGCAGCAGGCCTCCCCATGGGGGCTGAGACTCAGTCGCCCCCCTCCGTTCCTCTGCCTCTCTTTTTTTTTTTCTTTTTTTATTTTTGTTGCGTTCATCTGCCTCTTCTCCCTCCTCCGCCCAGGCCGTCGTGGCAGTGGCTCGCCTCCCGGGTCCCCGGCCTCCGCTGAGCGGTCACGGGATTCCGGGATTGGGGACTTCGCTGCCACAAGTGAGCGGTGGCCTCGCAGCAAAGAGAACGCAACGGGGCCATGACGCAGAGGGGCCCAAACAACGCACCGCGCATCGACGATGCCTGCTCAGCATCGCAGCGGGCCTCTACGCCGACGCACTGGCGATCTGGTGCGATCTGGAAGTCCCATGTTTCCCAGCCCACAGGAGGGAGCCCGAGTAGATGAGGGATTGTCATGATCGGCTAGCTGCGCGTCTCCTGTGGGGCAGGACAGCCGCACACAAGATGTGTGTGAGAACGGCCAACGGCCGAAAAGCGGAGGCGGGAGAGAACCAGCCACTACACGGGGCTTCCACCGCAGCTCAGCGGCGCGGCCGGAAGAGGGGCAGAGGCGGGACGAAGGCTTCATCACTGTCTGCAGTCCAAGGTCAGGCCGGGGGTCTCCTGGGCCACTTTGGGCCATCTTGGTGCCCTCTGGGGCCGTCTTGGGACGCTCATGGGCCGTCTTGGGGCCATATTGGCTGTTTGGGAAGTCTCCTGCGGCCGTCGTGTTTGGGCCATGTTTGGGCCGTCGAGGGGCTATCTAATGCCGTCTTTGGTCCCTCCGGAGGCCCTCTTGGGCTAGTTTTGGGCTTCCCTGGTGCCGCCTAGGTGCCCCCTGAGGCTGCCTTGAAGCAGTCTTGGAAGAAAACTCTGCGTTTGGGCCGAGGAAGAGAAGAGGGCGGAGGAGGGCGGAGGAGAGGAGGGAGGGAGACGGCGGAGGGTCGCCGCGACCCCCTTCGATAGAGGCCTCCTAGGTGGGGTCGGAGTAGATGGGGTCGGAGGATCGCGCCGCACATCGGCGATGCATTGCCGATGCATCGGCGATGCATCGGCGACTCCAGCGTGGAGAAAATCGGGCTCCACCTCGATAGGGGGCCACATGTGAACCCTACCCCCACCCCCCACGATTTCTGAGGGGGAGGGTGGGGTTCACTGCGCTCGGGAGCTCCCGATCGAAGTGAACCCCACCCTCCCCCCAGAAGTCGTGGGGGGGTAGGGGTAGGGTTCGCATGTGGCCCCCAGTCCTCATACCCCTCATGGAGAACCTGGGCGCCCCGAGGAGAGGAGATCCTGGTGCCGAGGGCCGAGCAGAGCTCGAACTGGGAGGCCGACCGGAGCTCTCAAGGGTCGGCCGCCGAACCTCGTGGGTCAAAACCATTTGGACGCCCCAGATAGGTACGGAAAGAATGGGCTCCACCTCGAGCCGCATCGCCGATGCATCGGCGATGCGGCGCGAGCCTCCGACCCAGAGCCGGGCGCGCGGTGCCTCCAGCTGCTCCTGCGGGTAGTGCGACGTCCACGAGGAGCACAGGTCCTGGGGGCAGCCGGGCCACCGCCACCGGGGCCGCAGAGCGACGTCGACGACGACGAGGACGAGGCGGAGGAGGAGGAGGAGGAGGAGGAGGAGGAGGAGGAGGAGGAGGAGGAGGAGGAGGAGGAGGAGGGAGGAGAGGAGGAGGAGGAGGAGGAGGAGGAGGAGGAGGAGGAGGAGGAGGAGGAGGAGGAGGAGGAGAGGAGGAGGAGGAGGAGGAGGAGGAGGAGGAGGGAGGTGGAGGAGGAGGAGGAGAGGAGGAGGAGGAGGAGGAGGAGGAGGCGGGGGGGGGAGAAGGAGGAGGGGCAGGAGGAGGAGGAGAAGGATGAGGAGAAGGAGGAGGAGGACGACGACGACGACGAGGAGGAGGAGAAAAGTCGGCTACACATAAGAATGACCCTGGATAGGAGTGACCTTTCGTGCACGGCTTGACGGGAGACGCGGGGTGGCCAAACCTGGGCGCGCAAGCCGCTGCTACCGCTTCGCGCTCAGCGATTCGGGGACCCCAATCGGTTCGCACCAAAGGTCACTCTGGCGAAAGGTCACTCTTACGTCCAGTCGAGAAAGAGAGCTTCAAGGACCCCGGCCGCCGACGACGACGACGACGACGACGACGACGACGACGACGACGACGACGACGACGGGAACGACGACGACGACGACGGCGAGAATGATGATGATGATGATGATGATGATGATGATGATGATGCTGATGATGATGATGATGATGATGATGATGATGATGATGATGATGATGATGATGATGATGATGATGATGATGATGATGATGATCCACACTTCCAGCCGTCCCAAGGAGCCGTGCCTCGGTGGACTCCGGTAACATCAGAAAGCTTCCCAAGCCCCCCCAAAGGGGTCCGTCGACGCACCCAGGAGGCCCCAAGATGGCCCCCGAGAGGACACCCGCACTGTGCCCGAATTGCCTAGAAAGGTCGCCCCCCCCCCCCCCCAGGAAGCTCCAAGGCGCCACAACATCCCCAGCCAAGCCTCAACATCGCCTGACCAGAGAGAACCCCAAAGCGTTTCGCACCGAACTGTCAACAAGCCACAGGTCAACTAGAGGAGGGGGGCCCGCGGCGTAAGGCGAAAGCCTTGTTCAGACTTCAAGCTGAAAACAGGGGGACTAACCAATACCAAGCCACGCTGGAGCAAGTGAGTAGAACCAGGGGACCAAAAACATGCCAGAGTAGCTGCTACCCCGCAGGCCCGCTTGGCCTGATCCCTTTTGTGAATTGACTTCTGTCCTCGTTCTTTGTTTCATGTGTGCTCCTCCTCCTCCTCCTATTCCTCTTTCCTGCTCGCGACATCTCGCCTTAGAATCGTGCCTCGATGGGTCGGTGGTATACGCGACGGGCCCATAATCGGTCCTCCCGACAACGCGCCCAGACCAACAAGCGTCGACGTTTTTCCTCGCCTGGAATTGGGGCCACCCAACTGACAAGCACCAGAACCGCGATCTACCCCTTGGTCCTTGACTGGAGATGAAGAGACTGGGCACTGCAACTCCCAACGGATCAAAGTTGGGGAAGTCAGTCGACCCCCGAACCACCCCTGGCCACTGCCCTGCCCTATCGCACCCTCCTCTCAACCAACCGCCTCTGCAACGCCTTGGCGAATCCATGTGCAGAAGCACAGCTGGATGCTTTGTTGGTCTTCTGTCAAGCTTCCGGTCGAGAACCTCCTCAAGAAGTGGCTCCTCGTTTGGTTGGCTAATGCCGCCTGGAGTGTACAGCTCAGAGCCCCCGAAGATCATCTGCCGCAGCACTCGGTGCTGAAGTGCAGTCCGTGCGCCACATCTCTCCCCCGCAGTTTGCGCACACATGGAAACTGCTGACGGGGGGCAGCTTTTGCTAGCGCCGGCGTCCGCTGGCCGTCCCCGCGAGAAGAGGAGTCAAACTCTCGCTTGCCGTCGCTCGGACGTCCATTTCCCGCGCATTGTTCGGTTTCGCGCGTGTTTTTTTTTACTCCATGGTCCAGGATGGTCCTCGATGGTCCCCGCCGAGAAAAAAGTGCACACGTCCGAGCGATGCCGAGCTCGATCCCTCAACGGCGGGGCCCTCTCTGGAGCGCCCTCCCTGGCCGACAGAATCCGCACTCCGAGTCCATGCCAGCACCCGGCTAGAGGCGGCCGAGGGGCGTAAGAGACGGAGGGGGCGGAGATCGGTGGAGGAGGAGGCCCTTGCCCTACATGAGGCACCTGCGATACAGTGGAGGCCCGACCACAAGAGACCTTCCACAAGAAACCCAACCCTGAGACCCCAGGACGTCCATCGACTTTTGGCGTGGGAGCGTCGCGCTTTCCTAGGCAAAACCATCGAGACCCAAGAAACCCAGGGCACCCTGGAGGCAACCAGGGTTTTTCTTGGCATGGGTCTCTACTGTAAAGATCTCTCACTACCAGAAGCCTAAGGAGCACATATGCCGTCGACCTTGGGCTTTGCAGGGGTGCCCACCAGGGGGTCCACTGGCCAATTTGGGAATCAGAAAGTACAGTGGAGGCCCGTCCACAAGAAACCTTCCACAAGAAGCCTGAGACCCCAGGAAGTCACTTGATTTTGTTGGTGTGGGAACGTCACGCCTTCCACGGCAAAACAATCGAAACCCACAAAACCAAGGGCACCCTGGAGGCAAGCAGGCTGTTTCTTGGCATGGGCCCCCACTGTATCCCCGGGCCCGTATCTTGGTTGATGAATGTACGTGCTGTAACTCCTCTGTCTCTTCTGTCCTCTCTGCGGTCTTCGAGCATAGCACGCGTGGACACTTTGTATGTGCGCCTTCCTGTGGTGCAAGCTAGAACGGGATGCACTGGACCCCTTCGCAATGCGAGCATCACATGAAAATTGCAACGGTCTCTCAAAAACGAAAGCCCTTATGAGTGCTAGGGATCTCCTGAAGCAGCCCTGGGCTCCAAGGCAGTGGTCGATGCCTCTGCCCGGCACTGCGGCCCCCTTCTCAGAGGTTCGAGGCCGCGATGAGCTTGCACTTCTGCAAGCAATCCCTCGAGTCGAGGTCCTCGAGCAGGTCGAACACCGACTGCTTCTTCCCCTCGAAGTTCACAGGAGGGTCGTCGGTCCACTCCTGGATCATCCCCATCGGTATGCCCTGCGCGAGCATGGCGCGGCCAAAGAAGTCGGAGGCGATGGACGCGCCGAGCCAGTTCGACCGCTCGGCGAGCGCCTCGAAGGGGCTCGCGGACGCATGCACGCCATTGTCCCCGGTGTCGGGCACGGCCTTCAGCCCGAGGGCCTTCCACGTGTTGTATCCGCTGCCGCGCACCCCCCGGCACGTTGGGGCGCGGCAGAGTGGCGCGTGAGCGAAGCAAAGAAACGGGTCTCGCGCGAGATTGCGTAGTGACCTTACGCGGTGGTTGCCGCGGCCGCCAGCGCGGCGCGCTACACTTGAAGCGAGGGCGCTCACGCGCGACCTTACGTGGAACGCTTACGCGCGAATGTCGTCGCAGGCGACTCCGTTTTCTTCGGTCGCTCAAATGCTGTCGGAGAAAACGTCTTAAGTGCCCCAAGAGGGGGAGGTTGGGCGAGGAGGAGGAGGAAGAGGAGGAAGAGGAGGAGGGGGAGGAGAACGAGGAGGAGGAGGAGGAGGAGGACGAGGAGAAGAACGAGGAGGAGGAGGAGGAGGAGGAGGAGGAGGAGGAGGAGGAGGAGGAGGGGAGAGAGGAGGAGGAGGAGGAGGAGGAGGGGTAGGAGAGGGAGGGGGGAGGAACGAGGGCATGACGAAGACCCCCTCTTCCTCTCCTGGCGCTCCCCGCGCGTGCATCGCCCCCCCTCCCCCCCGCACCCTCCCAGGACCCCCAGGAGATCCCCAGGCTGGCTCCCAGGGGGGCCCGGGCAGGTCGCCAATGTGGCCCAAGATGCCTCCAAGACGGTCCGGCATGGCCCCTGGGACGGTCCAAGATATAGGGGAACGACCCATGACATAAACACAAAACCTAGGTCTGCGCGGAGCCCCCCTGGATGCGCCTCCCGCGCCGCTCCTAGCGCGCTCCGCGCGCCAGCGCGGATCCGAGAAATCCGCGCGGACCTCCGAGTTTTTACGTTTGTGTCATGGCTCGTTCCTCTAAAGATGGCCTTACGACGGCCCGAGCGGCCCCCGATACGGCACAAGAGGGCTCCAAGAGCCCCTCCAGGAGTGTCCGGAAACGTCAAAACCAATGGTTACCCGGAGGTGGTTAACTGATGGCGCTCTCGCCCGTTCGGGTTACCGTCAGCCCGGACTGCTTAAGGGGCCTCCAAGACGACCTCAAGACGGTCAAAAAACGCTGGAATGCGGCAACAGTCGCGCGCAGCGATGATTTCTCGTTAGCTCGGGCAGCACTTTGGGTGACACTGCCTGTACCCTCGCTTCCTTAGCGGGTTCGAGCCTCACGCCGATGGATGAATGCATGTGTTCATCTGGCTCTGGTGCCAAGACAGATACAACAGATACAACAGATACAACAGATACAACAGATACAACAGATACAACACATACAACATATACAACAGATACAACATATACAACATATACAACATATACAACATATACAACATATACAACAGATACAACATATACAACATATACAAGATATACAACATATACAACATATACAAAAGATACAACACATACAACATATACAACAGATACAACAGATGCAACAGATGCAACATATGCAACAGGTGCAACAGATGCAACAAATACAACCGATCCAACATATACGACATATAAAACATATGCAACATATACAACATATACGACATATACAACATATACAACAGATACAACAGATACAACAGATACAACAGATACAACAGATACAACAGATACAACAGATACAACATATACAACATATACAACATATACAACATATACAACCGATACAACAGATACAACAGACACAACAGATACAACAGATACAGCAGGTACACCAGATACAACATATACAACATATACAACATATACAACATATACAACAGATACAACAGACACAACAGACACAACCGATACAACAGATACAACAGATACAACAGATACAACATATACAACATATACAACATATACAACATATACAACATATACAACAAATACAACAGATACAACAGATACAACACATACAACAGATACAACAGATACAACATATACAACATATACAACATATACAACATATACAACAGATACAACAGATACAACATATACAACAGATACAACATATACAACATATACAACATATACAACATATACAACATATACAACATATTCAACATATTCAACATATACAACCGATACAACCGATACAACAGATGCAACAGATGCAACAGATGCAACAGGTGCAACAGATGCAACAAATACAACAGATACAACATATACAGCATATACAACATATACAACATATACAACAGATACAACATATACATCAGATACAACACATACAACAAATACAACATATACAACATATAGAACATATAGAACATATACAACATATACAACATATACAACAGATACAACATATACAACATATACAACAAATACAACAGATACAACAAACACAACAGATACAACAAATACAACATATACAACCACTACAACCGCTACAACCGCTACAACAAATACAACCGCATCAACCGCTACAACAGCTACACCAGCTACACCAGCTACAACAGCTACAACAGCTACAACAGCTACAACAGCTACAACAGCTACAACAGCTACACCAGCTACAACAGGTACAACAGCTACAACAGCTACAACAGCTACAACATATACAACAGCTACAACAGCTGCAACAGCTACGCCAGCTACAACAGCTACAACAGCTACAACAACTACAACAGCTACAACAGCTACAACAGCTACAACTGCTACAGCAGCTGCAACAGATACAACAGCTACAACATATACAACATATACAACATATACAACATATACAACATATACAACATATACAATAGAGACAACATATACAACATATACAACCGAAACAACAGATACAACATATACAACATATACAACATATACAACATATACAACATATACACCATATACAACAGATACAACAAATGGAACAAATACAACATATACAACAGATACAACAGATACAACATATGCAACATACGCAACAGATACAACAGGTGCAACAGATGCAACAAATACAACAGATACAACAGATACAACATATACAACATATGCAACATATACAGCATATACAACAGATACAATACATACAACAGATACAACAGATACAACAGATACAACATATACAACAAATACAACAGATACAACGGATACAACGGATACAGCGGATACAACGGATACAACGGATACAACGGATACAACGGATACGACGGATACAACGGATACAACGGATACAACGGATACAACGGATACAACGGATACAACATATACAACAGATACAACAGATACAACATATACAACATATACAACAGATACAACAGACACAACATATACAACATATACAACAGATACAACATATACAACCGATACAACATATACAACATATACGGAAGGTATATCAACATATACAACATATACAACATATACAACATATACAACAGATACAACAGATACAACATATACAACATATACAACATATACGACATATACAACGTATACAACAGACACACCAGATACAACATATACAACATATACAACATATACAACAGATACAACATATACAACATATACAACAGGTACAACATATACAACATATACAACATACACAGCAGATACAACATATACAGCAGATACAGCAGATACATCAGATATAACAGATACAACAGATACAACATATACAACATATACAACATATACAACATATACAACATATACAACATATACAACATATACAACAGACACAACAGACACAACATATACAACCGATACAACCGATAAACCAGTTACAACAGATGCAACAGATACAACAGACACAACAGACACAACAGACACAACAGACACAACAGACACAACAGACACAACAGACACAACAGACACAACAGACACAACAGACACAACAGACACAACAGACAGACACAACAGACACAACAGACACAACAGACACAACAGACACAACAGACACAACAGACACAACAGACACAGACACAACAGACACAACAGACACAACAGACACAACAGACACAACAGACACAACAGGCACAACAGGCACAACAGGCACAACAGGCACAACAGAGACAACAGACACAACAGACACAACAGACACAACAGACACAACAGACACAACAGACACAACAGACACAACAGACACAACAGACACAACAGACACAACAGACACAATAGACACAATAGACACAACAGACACAACAGACACAACAGACACAACAGACACAACCGATACAACAGATACAACATATACAACATATACAACATATACGACATATACAACATATACAACAGATACAACATATACAACAGATACAACATATACATCAGATACAACCTATACAACAGATACAAGAGATACAACATATCCAACATATACAACATAAACAACATATACAACATATACAACCTATACAACATATACAACATATACAACAGACACAACGAACACAACAGACACAACAGACACAACAGACACAACAGACACAACAGACACAACAGACACAACAGACACAACAGACACAACAGACACAGCAGACACAGCAGACACAACAGACACAACAGACACAACAGACACAACAGACACAACAGGTACAACAGATACACCAGATTCAACAAATACAACAGATACAACAGATACAACATATACAACATATACAACATATACAACATATACAACAGACACAACAGACACAACAGACACAACATATACAACATATACAACAGATACAACATATACAACAGACACAACATACACAACATATACAACATATACAACATATACAACATATACAACATATACAACATATGCAACATATACAAGAGATACAACATATACAACATATACAACCGATACAACAGATACAACAGATACAACATATACAACGGATACAACATATACAACAGAAACAACATATACAACATATACAAGAGATACAACATATCCAACATATACAACTGATACAACATATACAACATATACAACATATACAACATATACAACACATACAACATATACAACAGATACGACATATACAACCGATACATCCGATACAACCGATACAACCGATACAACCGATACAACCGATACAACCGATGCAAGCGATACAACCGATACAACCGATACAACAGATACAACAGATACAACAGATACAACAGATACAACATATACAACAGATACAACAGATACAACAGATACAGCGTATACAACAGATACAACAGATACAACATATACAACATATACAACATATGCAACATATACAACACATACAACGGGTACAACATATACAACATATACAACAGATACAACATGTACAACACATACAACACATACAACAGATACAGTATATACAACATATACAACATATACAACATATACAACATATACAACATATACAACATATACAACATATACAACATATACAACATATACAACATATACAACATATACAACAGATACAACATATACAACAGATACAACATACACAACATATACAGCGTATACAACATATACAACATATACAACATATACAACAGATACAACAGATACAACAGATACAACAGATACAACATATACAACATATACGACATATCCAACATATACAACAGATACAACATGTACAACATATACAACATATACAACACATACAACAGATACAACATATACAACAGATACAACAGATACAACAGATACAACAGATACAACATATACAACAGATACAACAGATACAACATATACAACATATACAACATATACAACATATACAACATATACAACAGATACAACATATACAACAGATACAACATATACAACATATACAACATCTACAAATGATACAACATATACAACATATACAACATATACAACATATACAACATATACCACATATACAACATATACAGCATATACAACAGATACAACAGATACAACATATACAACAGATACAACATATACAACAGATACAACAGATACAACATATACAACATATACAACAGATACAACATATACAACATATACAACATATACAACAGATACAACAGATACAACATATACAACATATACATATACAACAGATACAACAGATACAACATATACAACAGATACAACAGATACAACAGATACAACATATACAACATATACAACAGATACAACATATACAACAGATACAACATATACAACATATACAACAGATACAACATATACAACAGATACAACATATACAACATATACAACAGATACAACAGATACAACAGATACGACAGATACAACATATACAACCGATAAAACCGATACGACCGATACAACAGATACAACATATACAACATATACAACATATACAACATATACAACATATACAACCGATACAACAGATACAACGGATACAACATACACAACATATACAACAGATACAACATATACAACATATACAACAGATACAACAGATACAGCATATACAACATCTACAAATGATACAACATATACACCAGATACAACAGATACAACATATACAACCGATACAACAGATACAACAGATACAACATATACAACAGATACGACATATACAACATATACACCATATACAACATATACAACATATACAACATATACAACATATACAACATATACAACATATACAACATATACAACATATACAACAGATGCAGCAAATACAACAGATACAACAGATACAACAGATACAACATATACAACATATACAACATATACAACAGATACAACAGAAACAACATATACAACAGATACAACGGATACAACGGATACAACATATACAACAGATACAGCAGATACAGCAGATACAACAGATACAACATATACAACAGCTACAACAGCTACAACAGCTACACCAGCTACACCAGCTACACCAGCTACAACAGCTACAACAGCTACAACAGCTACAACAGCTACAACAGCTACAACAGCTACAACAGCTACAACAGCTACAACAGCTACAACAGCTACAACAGCTACAACAGCTACAACAGCTACAACAGCTACAACAACAACCGCTACAACAGCTACAACAGCTACAACAGCTACAACAGCTACAACAGCTACAACAGCTACAACAGCTACAACAGCTACAACAGATACAACAGCTACAACAGCTACAACAGCTACAACAGCTACAACAGATACAACATATACAACAGATACAACATATACAACAGATACGAAATATACGACAGATACCACAGATACAACAGATACAACATATACAACATATACAACAGATACAACATATACAACATATACAACAGATACAACAGATACAACAGATACAGCAGATACAACAGATATCACATATACAACAGATACAACAGATACAACATACACAACATATACAACATATACAACAGATACAACAGATACACCAGATACAACAGATACAGCAGATACAACAGATACAACATATACGACAGATACAACAGATACAACAGATACAACATATACAACATATACAACAGATACAACAGATACAACAGATACAACAGATACACCAGATACACCAGATACAACAGATACAACATATAGAACAGATAGAACAGATACAACAGATACAACAGATACAACAAATACAACATATACAACATACACACCATATACAACATATACAACATATACAACCGATACAACATATACACCATATACAACATATATAACATATACAACAGATACAACATATACAACATATACAACATACACAACATATACAACAGATACAACAGATACAACAGATACAACATATACAACATATACAACATATACAACAGATACAACATATACAACATATACAACATATACAACATATACAACATATACAACAGATACAACATATACAACATATACAACATATACAACATATCAAACATATATAACATATACAACAGATACAACAGATACAACATATACAACATATACAACATATACAACATATACAACAGATACAACAGATACAACAGATACAACATATACAACATATATACAGATACAACATATACAACATATACAACATATACAACATATACAACATATACAACATATACAACATATACAACATATACAACAGGTACAACAGGTACAACATGTACAAAAGATACACCAGATACAACATATATAACCGATACAACAAAAAAACAGATACAACATATACACAGATACAACATACACAACAGATACAACAGATACAACATATACAACAGATACAACATATACAACAGGTACAACAGATACAACAGATACAACATATACAACAGATACAACAGGTACAACAGATACAACATATACAACAGATACAACAGATACAACAGATACAACAGATACAACAGATACAACATATACAACATATACAACATATACAACAGATACAACAGATACAACATATACAACATATACAACATATACAACATATACAACATATATAACATATACAACAGATACAACAGATACAACATATACAACATATACAACAGATACAACAGATACAACAGATACAACATATATACAGATACAACATATACAACATATACAACATATACAACATATACAACATATACAACATATACAACATATACAACAGGTACAACAGGTACAACATGTACAAAATATACACCAGATACAACATATATAACCGATACAACCAATACAACAGATACAACAGATACACAGATACAACATATACAACAGATACAACAGATACAACATATACAACAGATACAACATATACAACAGGTACAACAGGTACAACATATACAACAGATACAACAAATACAACATATACAACAGATACAACATATACAACAGATACAACAGATACAACAGATACAACATATACAACAGGTCGCCAATGTGGCCCAAGATGCCTCCAAGACGGTCCGGCATGGCCCCTGGGACGGTCCAAGATATAGGGGAACGAGCCATGACATAAACACAAAACCTAGGTCTGCGCGGAGCCCCCCTGGAGGCGCCTCCCGCGCCGCTCCTAGCGCGCTCCGCGCGCCAGCGCGGATCCGAGAATCCGCGCGGACCTCCGAGTTTTTACGTTTCTGTCATGGCTCGTTCCTCTAAAGATGGCCTTACGACGGCCCGAGCGGCCCCCGATACGGCACAAGAGGGCTCCAAGAGCCCCTCCAGGAGTGTCCGGAAACGTCAAAACCAATGGTTACCCGGAGGTGTTTAACTGATGGCGCTCTCGCCCGTTCGGGTTACCGTCAGCCCAGACTGCTTAAGAGGCCTCCAAGACGACCTCAAGACGGTCAAAAAACGCAAGCCAGCGGGTGAGAGTAAACACCTCGCGGGACTCGCCGCAGGCAGCCAGATATGGTGTTGCGCACGGAGCCGCTCTCCGCGGTCTTGGGGTCGGTGCCACCCAGTACCTTGCCGCGGAAGTCCTCCCACTTCAGCCCGCGCGGGTCCCACTCGGTCTCGTAGTAGTAGATGCAAGTGCCTGGCGCGGTGAACTTGCTGCGCATGGCCATGTAGAAACCGTTTATCACAAATATGTCATCGATCTTGCCGGCGTAGAAGCCTCCGCCGAACTTCAGAAGGTCTACGTCCTTCTTCAGCTTCCCCCACTTCTCACCTAGCTCCTGGGTGGAGATGCCGAGCTTGGCCGTGGCGTCCATCGCATTGAAGACGAGGCCCTGGGCGAGGACGGTCTGCCAGCTCTGCCCGAACTGCGCCTGGAAGGCGTCCTGGGCCTTCTGCTGGACGGTGAGCGCGGTCGGCTTCAGCTTGACGGCCTTCGCGGCGATGGCGCCGTAGTGCGTGTCGATGAGCATCTTGCTGTCGATCACCTCAGCAGGGATCGTGCCCTCGGAGATCACGTGTATGCCCGACTTGCCCAGGTGCTGCTTCACGAGCTCCCTCACCTTTTGCCGAGATGGACAGGGACCCTGGAAATCGACAGGTCCTGGGCCCAGGGGCTCTCCCTCCCGACTCTCTACTCATCCTGGGACCCGCATGTTGACGCCCCCGGTGCCCGGCAAGGACCCCAGCAGGAGCCCCAAGACGGCGAAGAACCTCCAGGACCCTTCGGCGTGTGTGAGTCGCTGTCGTCGTCTTCGTAGTCGTCGTCGTGGTCGTCGTCGTCGTCGGCGTCGTCGTTGTCGTCTCTCCACGGCGAGCCTTGTCGGTGACCGCGTGCGGCTTGATGAAGACGAAGGCGGAGTGCAGCCGATTGGCCTTGTCTATCTCCAGCTCCGCCAACCGGCGCTCAAGATCCGCCAGCGAGGGGGCACCCTGCGCGGGAAGCGACCGATGCGTCGCCGCGGGCGCCGCGGGTGCCACCTGTGGCGCCTCGGCGGAGCGTCTCTCCAGACCTCCGACGTCGTGCTCTGTGCCCCCAGCCATCCTGTGGCATTGGGTCCTCGCCTTGAAGAGGGAGAGCGCCCCGCGTCCTCCTCTCCTCCTCTCCTCTCCTCTCCTCTCCTCTCCTCTCCTCTCCTCTCCTCTCCTCTCCTCTCCTCTCCTCTCCTCTCCTCCTCCCTCCTCCCACCTCCCCATCCTTGCCTCTGCACTCCTCGCGCAGATTTCGGCACACTCCTCACATGCTTCGTGGCCTCATATGGAGCCCCATCGAAGCCCTCAGTAGGATGTTTTGCATGCGCTTCCCCACGCCCCTAACACGTTTCATCGCCCCGTGCCCTACAGGGAGCTCCTCCGAAGCCCTCAGGAGGTGTTTTTGCATGTCTTCGTCCACACCCTACCACGTTTCGTGGCCTCATAAGGAGCCCCACCGAGGCCCCCAGCACGGGGTTGTGCATCCGATTCTCCGCACCCCTCACACGCTTCGTGGCCCCATAGGGAACCTCCACCGAAGCCCTCACAGGGGGAGGGCGCATATGGTTTGCTACCTTCCTCACACGTTTCGTGAACCCATGGGGAGCTCCACCGAAGCCACCAGGAGGGCGTTTTGAATATGTCTCTTCACATCCCTCACACGCTTCGTGGCCACACACGGAGGATGTGCATGTGGTTCTCCACGCCCCACAGGGAGCCCCAGCGAGGGGGTTTTGCCTGTGCTTCCCCACACCCCTCACACGCTTCGTGGCCCCATAGGAAGCTCCACGGAAGCCCCCAGGAGGGGGGTCGCATATCGTTCTCCACACCCCTCACACGCTTCGTGGCCCCATACTGAGTTCCACCGAAAGCCCAAGGAGGGAGTGCTGCATGTAGTCCCCCACGCCCCTCCCACGCTTCGCGGCTCCACAAGGAGCTCCACCGAAGCTCACAGGACGGGGCTGTGTACGTGGCTTTCCGCTTTCACACGATCCGTGGCCACATGGGGAGCTCCACCGGTGCCCTCAATGGCGAGTTTTGCATGTGCTTCTCCACACCACTCACGCGCTCCGTGGCCCTAGAGGGAGCCCCAGAGAAGCCCGCTGGAGGGGGGTGGGGTCGCATGCGGTTCTCCGTCCATGTCTGGCACACCCCTCACACTTCTCGTGGCCCCCTAGGGAGCTCTGCCGAAGGCCACAGTGGCAGCGTCCGCGCGGCGTCACAGCACCCACTTCGGCTCAATCCTCACACGTTTCGTCTCCATGGGGAGCTCCGCCGAAGGCTGTATCGGCACAGTCCGCATGGCGCCACCGCGCCCGTTTCGGCACACCCCTTACACACTTCGTGGCTCCATGGGGAGCCCCGCCGAAGGCTCAACTGCCACAGTGCGCATCGCGCCAACGCAACCAGTTTTGCACACACACACAGACACACAGACACACAGACACACAGACGCACAGACACACACAGACACACACAGACACCCAGAGACACACACAGAAAACACACAGACACACACAGACACACACAGACACACACACAGACAAACACACAGGCACACACACACAAACACACAGCCACACACAGACACACACAGACACACACACAGACACACACACAGACACACTACACAGAGACACACAGAGAAACACACAGAGACACACAGAGACACACAGAGACACACAGAGACACAGAGAGACACACACACAGACACACACTCACACAGGCAAACACACAGATACATACAAAGACACACAAAGACACACACAGACACACGCAGCCACACACAGCCACACACAGCCACACACAGACCCACACAGACACACACAGACACACACAGACACACACAGACACACACAGAGACACACACACAGCCACACACAGACACACACAGACCCACAGACACACACAGACACACACAGACACACACACACACAGGCACACAGACACACACACACAGACACAGACGGACACACAGAGACACAAAGACACACACAGACACACACAGAGACACAAAGAGAAACACAGAGGCACACAGAGACACAGACCGGAACACACAAACACACACAGATACACACAGACACACACAGAAACACACATAGACACACAGAAACACACAGACACACACAGACACACACACAGAGACACACACAGACACACACAGAGACACACACGGACACACGCAGACAAACACAGAGACACACACAGACACACACAGAAACACACACAGAAGCACACACACAAAGACACACACACACAGAAACACACAAAGACACACACAGACACAAACAGACACACAGAGACACACACAAAGACAAACGCACAGACACACAGAGACACAGACACAGACACACACACACACAGTGACACACACAGAGACACACACAGGGAAACACACACGCACACAGAGACACACATAGAGACACACACAGAAACACGCACAGAGACACCCACACAGCGACACACAAAAGGCCACACACAGACACACACACACACAGACACACTACACAGAGACACACACAGACACACACAGGCACAAACAGACACACACACAGACACACACACACAGCCGCACACACACCGACACACACACACAGACACACAGAGACACACACACAGACACACACACACAGACACACACACACAGACACACACACAAACACACACACACAGACACATACACCCACAGAGACACACACAGGCAAACACAGACACACACACAGACACACGACACAGAGACACACAGAAACACACACAGACACACACAGACACACACACAGACACACACACACAGACACACACAGACACACACAGACACACACACACACAGGCAACCACTCAGGCACATACACAGACACACACAGACACACACACAGACACACGCAGACACACACAGCCTGACACAGACACACACAGACACACATAGACACACACAGAAACACACACACACACAGACACACACATAGACACACAGAAACACACAGGGACCAACCCACAGACCCACAGAGACGCACAGACACACACAGACACACACACACAGAGACACACACAGACACACACAGACACACACAGGGACACACACACACAAAGACACACACAGACAAACACAGACACACACACAGACACACACTCACACAGGACACCACTCAGACACATACACAGACACACACAGACACACACACACACCGACACACGCAGACACACACAGCCACACACAGATACACACAGACACACATAGACACACACAGAAACACACAGACACACACACAGACACACACAGAGACACACCCAGCCACACACAGGGACCCACCCACAGACCCACAGAGACAGACAGGCACACACACACAGACACACACACACACAGACACGCACACAGAGACACACACAGGCACACACAGGCACACACAGAGACACACACACAGACACACACACACACAGTTACACACATACTTTGCAAAGACACACACACAGGCACACACAGACACACACACAGACACACACACAGACACACAAGCACAGACACACACAGACACACACAGACACACACACACGGACACAAACATAACCATTCACAGACGCACCCAGACACAGACACACACAGAGACACACAGAGACACACACAGACACACACAGAGACAGACACACACAGACACACACAGGCACACGCAGACACAACCAGCCACACACAGATACACACACAAACACAAACACACACAGACACACACAGACGCACCCACATACACACGGGCACACACAGACACACACAGACACACACAGACACACACACACACACAGAAACACACACACACACAGACACACACAGATAAACACACACAGAGACACACACACAAACATACGCACACACATACACAAACAGACACACATAGACACACAGAGACACACACAGACACTTACAGACACACACACAGACACACGCAGACACACACACACAGGCACACACACAGACACATACAAAGACACACACACACAGACGCACGCAGACACACACACAGACACACACAGACACACACACAGAGACACACACAGAGACACACACAGACACACACACAAACACAGAGACACACACAGAGGCACACACAGAGACACTAGCAGAGACACCCAGAATGACATACACAGAGACACCCAGAATGACACACACACAGAGGCACACACAGAGACACACAGACACACACAGACACACAGACACACACACACACACACAGACACACACAGGCACACACACACACTCGCACACACACAGACACACACAGGCACACACAGGCACACACAGGCACACACAGACACACACGCAGAAACACAGAGACACACACACACAGACACACACACACAGACACAGACACACAGACACAAACAGCCACAAAGACACACACACACAGACACACACAGGCACACACACAGACACACACAGACACACACAGACACACACAGATAAACACAGACACACACACACAGACACAAACCCAGAGACACACACAGGCACACACACAGACACACACAGACATTCACAGGCACACACAGACAACCACAGACACACACAGACACACACAGACACACACACAGACACACACACACACTCGCACACATAGACACACACACAGACACACACACAGACACACACACACAGACACACTCAGACACACACAAAGAGACACATAGACACAGACAGACACACACAGGCACACACAGCCACACACAGACACACACAGAAACACACACACAGACACACGCACACCACAACAAAAAAACAGACACACACAGACGCGCACACTCACACAGACACACATTTACACAAAGACGCACACACAGGCACACACAGACACAGACACACACACACGCACAGACACACACACACATAGACACACACAGGCACACACACACATACGCACAGAGACACAGACAGACACACACAGACACACACACACACAGACACACACACACAGACACGCACACAGACACACACAGACGCACACACACACAGACACACACACAAACACACACACAGACACACAGACACGCACACACAGACACACACAGACACACACACACACAGACACAAACACAGACACAAACACAGACACACAGAACACACAGACACACACAGACACTCACAGACACACACACACACAGACACACACACAGACACACACACACAGATACACATACAGACACACACACAGACACACACACAGACACACACACACAGACACACACAGACACAGACAGAGACACACACACAGACACACACCGAGACACACACAGAGACACACACAGACACACACAGAGACGCACAGACACACACACACACAGACACAAACACACACACAGACACACACACACACAGACACACACACACACAGACACACACACACACATACAGACACGCACAGACACACACAGACACACTGACACACACAGACACACACAGCCACACACAGACACACACAGCCACACGAGGACACACACAGACGCACACAGACACACACGCAGACACACACACACAGACACACACACAGACACACACACAGACACACAGATACACACATATAAACACAGACACACTCAGACAGACACACGACACAGAGACACACACACACAGACACACAGACACACACACAGACACACACAGACACACAGAGACACACACAGAGACACACATACACACACGCAGACACACGCAGACACACACAGACACACACACAGACACACACAGACATAGACATACACAGACACACACACAGACACCCACACACACACACAGACACACACACATAGACACACACACACACAGACACACACAGACACACACACAGACACACACACACACACAGACACGCACAGACACACACAGACACACACACAGACACACACAGACATACACAGACACACACACAGACACGCAGACACACGCAGACACATTCAGACACACACACACAGACGCACACACACACACCATACGTTTCGTGGTTCCATGAGGAGCTCCGCCGGAAGCTCCAGTGGCAGCTCCCGCATGGCGGCACTGCACCCGTGTCGGTACCACCCTCGCACGTTTCGTGGCCCCACTGGGGGCTGCCCAAGGCTCCAGTGGCAGCGTCCGCCTGGCGGACCTGCCCACCTCGGCACACCCCCCACACGTTCCGTGGCCTCCCTCCTCCGCCTCACCCGCCTCGCCATACCCGCAGCTGCATGGGGCTGGGCCCCTCGCCAGGACAACCTGCGCTCCTCCCCGGCGCGCGGACCTAGAGACTCGGAGCCCCTGCTGGGCACCTGCGCTCCGTCCCAGGGTCGCTTTCGGAGGCCCCCGGCCCGAAGCGGGCACCCGGAGACGAGAGGGGGGGGGCGTCCGGGGAGGACGAGGACCGGCCCAGGGCGGGGGTGGCAGCGTCGAGCTGGAATCGGCGATTGGGCTCTCGATAGCGAATGCTCACGCTCCTGGGCGGGGTGGGCCATCGGGCCCCTGGCGGAGCGATCCAGTGGGCGCTTGGGGGCCGATCCACCCCACCCTGAGCCTACCCCACCCTAGCGTGGCCCCTGAAAAGGCCCAAACTCCGGAGACCCCTGAGATCCGACGCTGCGAAAAAATGGAAGCACTGTGAAAATCACGACCAAAGCCCTAGACGCAATCTTTCTGCGACATTGTTCGAGCTGGATCGATATGTGATGGCTCCAGGGCCCTAAACAAGGCGAAAACGCCCTGTGAAAAAGTGCAATGCTGGGATCTGATGGAAGCCTGCCGTCCGTGACGAAGGGTGTCTGGGAGTCGCCAGCGGCGCGTTCTCTGCAGCCCCGGAGCCCGGGCAACACCCAGCGGGCTCCCAGGCCGGGCAACACCCAGCGGGCTCCCGGGGAGGTAACCGCCCGCGCGCGAGTTGGGCGTCACATAGACGGGCGGCGCGATGATGATGCCGCTCATGGCGCCCCTTCGCGCGCCACCGCAGACGGTGTTCCCGCCCTCGCGAGCTCAAAGCAAAGCCTCCTGGACCAAAATGGCTGCGAGAGGAGGAAGGCTTGCGAATTACGAGCTATCCTGCGCAGTGGTCGAAACGAACTGGGAGCGACGAGGCTGCTGAGCCTTGCTAAGCTGCTTAGGTCGGGGGTGGACATACCTCCCTTTAGTAAAACGCGGTTTAGTGAAAAAGACCTCGGGCCCAAACATGGCGGGCGCAAGCCTGGAAAATGACGGCCGCGACGCTCTCCTCGAGAACCGAAAACGGACCATTCACGAATCGACGTGTCAGGGCAGGAGGTCTGTCCACCCCCGATTAGGCCACTTGCCAGCCTCCAATAAGGTGAGATAGGCTCGCCGATGAGGCTCCACCTTACTCGGAGGAGACTGGGGTACAGAAGGAGGGGCGAAAGGGGGGCGGGAAGAGAGGTGCGGGCGGGCGGAGGAGGCGACTCGGAGAGGGCGGAGTGTGCAGAGGGTGGAGGGGTGCGAGGAGGGGAAGTGGCGGGGAGCCTCGGGGGAAGGCGGGGCCGAGGGAGACAGGAGGGAGAGGGGGAAAATACATGGGAGGGGGGAGCGAGGCGGAGAGGCGCAGGAGGAGGGGGAGGCTCCCAGAGCCTATGGGGAGGCCCATGGAAGCCCCCCAAAGGCCCTGCAGGGTCGAGAGACATGCGCTCCTCCTCCTTCTCCTCCTCCTCCTCCTCCTCCTCCTCCTCCTCCTCCTACGCCTCCGCCTCCGCCTCCTCCTCCTCCTCCTCCTCCTCCTCCTCCTCCTCTTCCTCCTCCTCCTCCTCCTCCTCCTCCTCCTCCTCCCTCCTCCCTCCTCGACGCACCGCGGGCGCCCCCGGGGTCCAGGGCGGCGAAGCCGCGCGGGGCGGCGCGGAAGGCGCTCCGGTAGACCTCTTGGGGGCGGTCGTCGCCGTCGCCGTCGCCGTCGCCGCCGTCGTCGTCGCCGTCGTCGCCGTCGTCGTCGTCGTCGTCGTCGTCGTCGTCGTCGTCGTCGTCGTCGTCGTCGTCGTCGTCGTCGTCGTGGTCGTCGTCGTCGTCGTCGTCGTCGTCGTCGTCGTCGGCGGCGGGGAAGGAGAGGAGGGGTGAAGGGGCGAAGGAGAAAAATACACGAGGAAGAAAAGGATGATGAGGAGGAGGAGAATGAGGAGGACACTGGGGGGCCGAAAGGAAGGAGGGGGAGGAGCAAAAAAAGGACGAGGGGGGAGGAAAAGGCAGCGGAGGGATGAGAGGGGTAGCAGGACAAAGAAGAGGAGGAAGAACAGAAGGAGGAAGAAAACAAAGGAGCGCGGCTTGCGCAGGACAGGGCTCAGGAGGGGACGGATGCAGAAGAGTAGCAACAACAGGGAAGGCAATCGAGGAAGGCGCTCCAGTAGGCCCGGACAGGGGGCAGGGGGAGGATCCTAAGAGAAGCACAATGTATGGAATTGAAGATCGGCTGGCTTGCGCTGAAGAGCTGTCGAGGCCACCGGCCGCAAGAGAAAATCGGACGGCGGTCGAGCGGCGGCGGGGCGCACCGGGGCACGGAGAGCACGACTGGGGGGGAGCGCAAAGAGGCGCGAGGCGGCACGCCCGGGGGCGTGCCGAGGACGAGGACGAGGACGAGGACCCAGAGATCCAACGCACCGACGAAACCAAGGCGGGCTTTTTTCGCCATTTTCGGCCTCGGGCGGCCCTCGCCGGGCCCCGGGACCGTCAACACAAATATATGTTATTTTTGGACGACTCGGGAGGGAAAGGCGACTCTTTCGGGGCCCGTTTCTTTCGACGCAGGGGGTGCACGGACCCCACCCAGGCCATGAAAGTCTTCACGCGCACGCCGGAGGACAGGGGCGAGCACGAGGGCGAGGCCGAGCAGGAAGCCCAGGAGACACGGGGTGGGGGAACTCCCTGCAGCGTCGGCAGCCGATGCGAGGCGAGACTGGGAGCACGGATCCGCCAGGGAGGCCGCCCGGGAATGGCCGAGGAGACCAGCCCGCACAGGGGCCCAAAAGGCGCGGGAGTGCGCGAGCGAAGGGCCCCTTACCGGAAGGCGACGGCCAGGCAACGGCCAGGGCAACCGACGAAGTCGAAGAGCGCAACTGGCGGACCGAGGAGAAAAGGACCAGCGGTCGGAAAGGGGCCAGGGAGGTGCCGTCGAGCCTGCCGAAAAGCACCGTCTTGCTCCCAGCGCCGGGCTAGGCCGCGCAGCGCGGACAGCACAGAGGCTGCGGCCAGAAAAGTGGCGGGGCCGCCGCTGCCGAGGCGTCGGCGGCGGCGGGAGGGGAGGGGGGAGAGAAGGAGGGAGGGAAGAAGGGGCGGGCAGGAAAGCAGCGCGAGGACGCGGCTGGAAGACCAGGGGGGCAAAAAGCCCGTGCAACGCCTGAGGAGCCAGGTAGCCAGGGGGGCAACAAACCTGAGCAGCGTGGGAGAGAAGACCAGGCAGGACAAGACACCCTGGCGCAGCTCGTGGCGGCGCGAGCAAAACGACCCGGGGTGCCTGGGCCCGAGTGCGCAGCGGACGCGGCCGAGGGCAACGGGCCACAGCTTGGGCCTCGGGCCGCCATCCCACGCCTCTGCCGCGGCAGCACCACGCCCTCTCGCCCGGCCCACTCCGCAACGTCGGAGAAGACCAAGAGCTGGACAGCCGACCGTCTCCCCAGGTCGAAGGTGACGCGCCGCCTGCCCTCATCCTGCGCCGCGCAGACAGCGCGCCACCCGCTGACGAACGTGGACCCAGCCTCGCGCGGGAGCCGCTCGACGCCCTCGCCGGGCGTCTCGCCGCCGATGGGTGCCTATCGGATGGGCCCGCGAGGTATTCTGCACGGCAGCGCGTCTCCGTGCCCTGCCAGGGTGCTCCCCTGGGCGCGCCAGGGCTCTCGCAGCCGCGGACCACCCCGCCCGCCCGCGCGGCCGCACCCGATCAGCTCCAGGACCCGAGAGGGGGCCGCTGGCCAACGCCGGTGGCTGCACGGGCTTGAAGAAAAGGCATCGGCTGCCGAGCGTGGCCCCCAGAGCTGCCGGGCGTGGGGGGGGGCCTGGCCCCCGCGCCCAGCTCGTCCGCAACGTCGTCGTGCTTGCCCCCCATGATGGGCCTGTTTTCCACCGCCACCACCATAAGTAGAAGGGGGGAAGGAGGAGGAGGAGGAGGAGGAGGTGGAGGAGGACCCCATCCACCTCCAACTTATGGTGGTGGTGGTGGAAAACAGGCCCATCACCCCAGCGAGGGCGACGAGCAAGCGCGTGCGGAGGTCGGGTCGCCGGCCGCCGTCGAGGCCCAGCTCCGGCGAAGGGTGTCGGCTGCCAGCGGTGGGCCCCAGGGCCGTCTTGGGTGCCGATGGGAGTGGTGCCAGGCTGGGAAGCGGGAGGAGCGTCGGGGGCGGGGACGGGGCCCCGGTCGCCGTTGGCGTCATGCTCGGTCTCCCACGCTGGGGCCTCCTCCACAAGGGGCGTCGCCACCGTCCTGGCGGGGCGCGTGCGGGCCCTGAGACACCGCGCGCCTGAGGGCGGCGGCTTCGGCAGCCTGCAGAGAGTGAAGCGGAGCGGAACGCGGGCCAGCAAGAGAAGCAGCGCCTCCCAGGCTGGCCGCGGCTGCTGCGGAGTGTTCATCCACTGCAGCGCGCAGCTGGGTGCATCGCCTTCTCCGTCGGAGGCGCCGCCCCAACTTCCCCGGCCCTTGCCTCGCCAACTTCCCCGGCCCATGCCTCGCCCAGGGTCTTGTGGATGTTCTCTGGAGTCGGCTCCAGAGGAAGTGCTAACACCTCCCGTCTGTTGCATGCCATCAGCTCCAGGGCGGCAAAAAAGCGGGAACCGAGTGGTAGGACGTCGGGTGTGCGCCGCTCACATGGGCACCAGGGCCCAAAGCGGCGGGGGCGTAAGAAGACCTGCCAACGACAACACGTGTATCGCCTAATTCAACGAGTGGCGTCTGCCGCCCCAGGGTCAACTGGGGGAGAAAAGAGGAAAGGCGAGAGCTTTGGGTCGATTCCCCCCCGTTTTGGGATCCCGGGTCCCCAGCGGGCAGGAAACTGGTGTCATTTGTTGCCCGACTCTTGCTGTTCCCTCGAATTAGCACTCGGGGTAGTGGCAAGGCCCCACGTATCCTGCACCAGGGTCGCTTGGATGCCAGCGCCATCGCCTCGCCTAATGCCCTTCCGCTGTTCCCCCGAGACGGCACCAGGTGGACTGCCAAAGCCTCCCGTATCCTGAGCCGGTGTCGCTTGGACATCAAGCCACCAGGGCGGAAACGACCCGGAACCTCGGAAAGTAGTAGGCACATGAATAGGGGAACAAAAAGTGGCATAATCATAACAGCTCGGAGGTCCGCGCGGATTTCTCGGATCGGCGCTGGACCCCCCTCCCTGGCGCGCGGAGCGCGCCAGGAGCGGCGCCAGAGGCACCGCCGGGGGGCCCCAGCGCCGATCCGAGAAATCCGCACGGACCTCCGAGTTTTTATATTCATGCCACTTTTTGTTCCCCTAATGTATGACAGCAACATCAAGGCGACAGAAAGCCGAAGCATCCCTTGGCCGAAGCATGCGCGCGCCAACAGGGGCAGGGCGGGACAGAGCCGAATCGGCAGTACCAAAAGCACGCCGGGGCCAGGATCCTGCGGCAAGTCCAACCGCAGCGACAGGGGAAGCGCCTCCTCCTCCCATTCCTCCTCCTCCTCCTCCTCCTCCTCCTCCTCCTCCTCCTCCTCCTCCTCGTCCTCCTGGCGCAGTCAGCCGCGGCGCGTCCGCGCGCGGCGGGCTCGTGTCGTGGCGCCCCTCGGCACGGCGCCCACCGCCGCGGTCAACCTCGCCAGTTGGTGCTCGGGATGTCGGGTTAGTGGCGTTGGTGGTCCGCACTGCGCTGGGGATGATGCTGGCGCTGGTGTCCCCGGCAGCGCTGGCGCAGCACCTGCGTCGGAGATCCGCGCTGCACTGGCGGGGATGCTGCCGGTGGTGCTCCCGATTGTGCTGGCGAGGAAGCTGGCGTACACAGACGAGCGCATTCCACTGCTCGCAAAGTAGCTACTCGCAAGCAGCCTGGATCGCGGTGGAGTTACGTCTAATTGCT